TACAGGGATTCGCTTCGTTGAACCTGACGCCATCGGCCAAGGTTCAAACCTTGGCCGATGCCTTGAAGATCCCTGTAGGACCCAGGCCTGGGTCCTACAGGGATATGACAATCGATTCTTGGGGCCGGGGTAAACGGGCCCCGCCCCCTCGGGAGGCTACATCCTTCCACCTACCTGCCCCTCCCTCCCTCCCAACGATTCCTATCCCCAACCACGACCTCGGTCTTCGATCGACCGAACTACTCAACACCACCACCCCGACGAACCGACCGAGACCCGTCGAGGCACCCGTGACCACCCCGCCCCCCTGAACCCACGAAAGCCGTAAAGCGCAAGGAAGACCACGCACGCCCGTTCAGGCTTCAATCTGATCCGATCCGATCCGAAAACGAAAAAAAGGAACCCCAGGTAGTTTTCAGTGAGTAATTCAATTTTTGAGGTCTGCAGCCCCCAAAGGGGCTCCTTTTTCGGATATCCAGCCTTGTGGAGGGGCCCAAGGTGGAGCCACTGCTACGCTGAGCCGCAAAGAGGGGCCCTCTTCTGCCTATCAAGCTTTGGGGAGGGGCCCAACTTCCCAAACATGGCTGGGTGGGACTGCAGCACAGAAGGGGGGCCTATCAGGGGAGAGTGGGACTGTCAGGTGGCCCCCTTGCCCCAACTGAGTTTGGCGTGCAATTTTGGTACAAATTTGCCCCCAGATGAGAGAACCCTGGCTTATTCAATGTTTTTTTTTTCAAAACCAATAGGATATTCCACCACCACAGTCGAGGAGCCAATTGGGGATTAATCTGGCAATCTACAGGTTACCTGTAAGTCCTGGCTGTTTTTTAAACTTGAGGTTGCTCAGATCCAAGCATACATATTAACATGCATGACACCCCCCCCCTTTCATCCAGAAAATGGCCACAGGTAGTGATCAATCACGTAAGATGTTCCTTAACTTTTACTTGAATTTTGCCACTGGACCACAATTCAATTGGCCCAAGCTGACACAAGTGGTACTCAATCCCTTCAATCCCTTAGGTTTGGACCTTTACATGAAGGCACAGGAGCTGGATAGTCACCCGGCATTGAAACCTAAAGAGCAGGCGCACGTGAAATCCCTCTTGGCACTTATCAAGGCAGATATTGAGAACTCTGATGACGAGGGTGACGATGAACGTAGAGCGGAATCCGATGCAACCCAGCTGGCGAACGACCTCCCTCCCTCGAGTGCTTCTCATGAGAGCACACTCAGGGTTACTAGTATGCCTGCTGTGCAGAGCCTGCATGGTGATGCTCCTATCTCTCATCCACAATTGGATTTGTCCTTACCAGCCCGTCCGAACTTTGACACCCCAACTCCCATACACGAAGACCGTCAGTACGGCCTGTTTCGGTCAATGGCTGTGCCCAAGGTCCTCGCTCGCACACCTTGTCCATCCTTTGGCGAATTCTCTAGGGTTGATAAGACTCCTGTTGTTGACAACGGGTTCCCCAATGTACTCAATCCGGCCTATGCCAACATCCCGGACAATTCCCCTGGACGTAAAAACAGCAGAGGAGAGACATCTTATTTGACGGAAGAAGGAGATCGGTTTCTTGATTCTGTTATGGCCAGTGTCAACCAAAATCAAAATCTCTCTCCTGCGCGTTTGGGGGGCGGTGGGTGTAAGGTGGGAAGGTTGGTGATACAGCCAGCAAGGACATCGCCGGTTACAAAGACAATGGGCCTGTTGTATGCATTGGCAATAACAGGCCCCATCTCTATCCTTGCAAGCCATTTGGAACTGGGGACGTGGGTGGAGCCTTCAGGGACCTCGAGTGATTCACAGACCAGCTCCAATTGTTTGTCGCCTCCAAACTTCCTTGACCAATGCGCTGGGTCTTGATGGAGTTCGTGTAGAAGATCCCTGCGGACGTGGAGCCACCCGTCCGGCTTTGAATATGGGCTCTCCGGTTTTTCGCCTGCGAGTACGTGGGCTATACATGAGTAACCACAGTTTCCATCACCTGGGGGATTGTATTTTGAATGAACAAATGGTTCAAGCCAGACAGGCAGCTCATCAGGGTCCCTCAGCTGGACCTATAATTGGAGATGACAAGGGTTAGCACCAAGTCCCTGTGTCATAAGCTATTACAGGGGATGAGTCATACCGCCTTAGTACCGGTTTTTGCCCGGTTTGTGGAGATTATTTGAACTTCGTCTTCCTGTGGATATCATGAGCTTATATCAGCTTGGGGGAAACTGACAGAATGGTTGGGTTGCGCTCACATCTTCACCAGGTGGCTTGCAGGCAATATCTTTCTCCTCTCTTGTGACCTCTGCGCATGATTGTAAGTTGGAGGGGGCGCCCTGGGGTCCCGATTGGTCAACTGTCTCCTTTGGCTTGTAAATGCGTTTAGGCCGAATGCGCTTCCGCTTGGGTGTAGTAGCAGGGACAAGCTGTCCAATAGGCATTGAGCTAATGCTGCCTTAAGGCCAGTGCTCCAGTATAAGATTGAACTTGACTCACAGGTTGCATCTCATTGGTTTCTAGCACCTGAGGCAAACAGGCCCCTTCTTCCGCGCATGTGAGGTACCGAGGCCCCTCGAGGGGCACAATTGGGTCCAGTACATTGCCAATGTCCATATTAGTGGTCATCTGGGTTGGATTGGAAGGCTCTTGTGCACTTGGGTTTGCCTAAATGGTGGGGAAATATGGGGATTGTACTTTTCAGCAACAAATCCTGCCTGCATCAAATCTGAAACTCTTACCTGTGCAACCAGTTGAGGCAAAACAGCCTGATGATCAGGCCCATGAGCAGGGTTGGCTATCCATTCTTGTGGCATGAGAGATGCGGAAGATGACTTTGGGATAACCTAAATATGTGTGTATGACACAAATGATGAGCCTGGAACATCCTATGCAGAAACAACTTCTCAAGGGACATACCTGAGGAATCATCTGCTCCAAGTCAGATGGCAACTCCACATCTGCTGTCTCCATTGCTTGCCCGCTGTGAGGCTGCTCAAGGCTAGAGCCTGTTGCGCAAACTCCTGTGTCTGAGCCGCTTCTGGAAGCTGTAGCTTGATGGTCTGCACCGGAAATCACATTCGATTGGGCCTCTTCGTTCTCCCCAGGCTTGCATGATGCATTCGGTTGATCATCCGCATCCAAAACACCTGTACAACCTGCTGAGGAGGAGACATCCTCAGAATCAGAGGCGGAGGAGGAGGCTTCCCCCGAATCAGAGCGAACGGATTGTTTGAACAATTTGGCCGCCCTTGTGGCCCGTGTCGGTTGTTTTCGTTTGCGAGTAACTGGGTCGGGTTGTACGGCGGACTCGTCAGACGTGGTGGTCTCGTCAGAAGCAGGGGATTTCTGAGCCTTGGCCTTCCCCTTGGTGATTGACTTCTTCCCCCGGTTTGAGGCAGCCCTCTTCTGGGCTTGGGCCTCCACTACTTCAGCATGGATAGGATCCCTGTCGGCTGAACGCGTGTACCCTTGTTTCCTCTTCTTCTTAGGGACCTTGCGAGTGTTCCGGACAATCGGGGCATGACCTAGGGGGACCACATGAGTGTTTGACCTCACCTGTCGCAACTTGGCCATCAGACCTGGAAGATCTGATTCCTTCTCTTTGGCCAGAATCTCCTCCTTCAAGGCTGCATAATCTTCGTGAAAGTTGTATGGTGGCTCCGCATTCTGGCCCAACTAGAGTCTCAGTGACCAGGAAATTATTTTCAAAACAACAGATCAAGAACACTCACCGGGTTATCAGGGTCATAATACAATTTCCACTGATCATGTATATTAACTGTCTCGACTAACCCCCGCTCCTCCAAGATATCCGCCAACATGTGCCAGCAATGGATCCCCATTGAAGCAAAGAGTGTTCCAGAGCACTCGTCAAAGTCCACCCCGCCTGCCACCGCGTCCTTGTTCTTATTGTATAGATCCATCTGAATCTCCAGCATGGCAATCGCATGTATAGAGACCTTGGTGTTCAGTGGACGCAAAGCCTCCGGAATTCCAGATTTCCCCTTTTGCTTCTCGTTCCCATCCGATGCCTTGATGCTCGAAAGCTGCCGGTCAACCGCAACTGAAATGGCCTCAAAGACATTGGCCAAATCCTTCTTGTGAGAAGTGATGAAAGACTTCAACCAAGCATGGGCAGACTCCCCTCGCGAGGTTGAATGATTTCCCAAATGTGTTGTTTTCCCGATCCAAGGAGTCATGAAGTCCTTTCGCTCTGGGATGATGTTTTTAATAAGATAATCCAGAACATTTGGGCGACCTGCTAGATATACCTGGAGCTCGGCCCACGAAGAATCGTATGCGTCCTCGTCCTTTGAATAAACCACAGCATGCCACTTCGCCTTGAACACATCATATTCCGCCTGATTTGCTGCAAAAGCTGGGTAACAGGCGGCCCGGATGTTTTGATCAATGTGCCACACACACACATTGTTCTGTGCCTCAGGGAAATGTTGGGCAATGGCATTCCGCAAAGCCTTCTCCCGGTCGGTAACAAACACCTTAGGAGTCCGTTCAGGGGCCCACACAGACCTGAGACAGGAGACCAGTCATTAGTTTTATCAAACAGTGAGTTTAATATCCACAGCTGCTCACCTAAGGTTATTCAACACCCATGAATACGCCACCTCTGACTCATTTTGCATGAAACAAAATCCAATGGAGAACGTCTCGTTGGTCGCGGCCTGCCCAACAACATGCAACAGAGGGTATCTGTTCACATTTGTTTTATACGTACAATCCATGAGGACAACATGATGGAACCGTCTCGCCAGCTTCAAAGACCCTGGATGAGCAAACCACAAATACAGAAGATTTCCGTCCTTGTCGTACGCCTCCTCGTGTAACCAGTTGGAGTTCTTGAGGCACCGAATCAAGTACATCAAAACCGATTCGCCTTTCCGCTTGGCTCGTTGATGTGCAGCTGTTGCATTATAAATGGTACGATTGGTGACAAACCGCTCAGCCTTATCCGAGACCATGCAAGCTACAGCTTGCGGCTTCATGCCCAAGGAGGCCATCCTAACTGCCTCATCCGCCAGGGCCGCATCCATCTGTCGGTGTAGGACTTGGTATTCGACATCCATGGGGCCATGATTATGATGCAGATGATCTTTGATTCGTATTTCCCATGGGAAATTTTCGCAGCCCTCAGCAGTTGGTTTGTGCCCAGAAACCCTGAACGGACACCCAATACGTCTGTTTCGAGACATGCGTTGTCGATCGGACTGAGGCTTCTTTGAGTCCTCCCCAGCCAAGGAACAACGTAAGTAGACATTTCTGTTTCCACCGGGAGTTCCTCGGTTGGGAGTTTGTAGCCATGGGTCACTGCCCATCTCTGCACAAAGCGCCTCAGTCTTCGAGTTCGTGGAACTTGAGTAGAGGGGGTCGATCCATTGGATCTACAGTTTTCACAGATTACCAGTTGAACGAATATAAAAAATGCCTGCTGACTACTACTCGCCACGGTAAAATCAAATTTA